ATTTCAAAGAAGATCTGAAACCCACTTTTGTGTGACTGGGAGCACTTCTGCCCCAAAGGCAAGTGCCCTCCCACCCCTGAAACACTGTGTGTTTTCAGCAATGCACATCCCTCTGAGGGATGTGCCTTGTTCTGGCATCTGGGGGTTGGGAATAAACCTTGCCCCACTCTGGGTTGCAGTGTCAGCCCCAGACTGGTCAGCCGTGACTGCAGACCGAGTTTGGCTGAGAGGGGTTGGCAGCACTCAGGGAGGTGGCAGTGGTTTTGTCCTGTCTGCTCTGGGCACCTGCCTATGCCCCACAGATACCCAGCACTTCTGTCCATCCTTGTGCCAGCAGTGGAAAGACTGGGTGGCCTGAGAAAGCCCAGACTTCATCACCTCAAAGGGCTTCTCCTGTGAGAACTGGGTGATTTACATGGGCAGGGAGCAGCACCCTGTCTCAGAAACACACATGGCTTCTTGCATACAGCAGACAGACAGGCAGAGGACTCCTTCCCCCAAGGCTGCTGGTGCAGAGCCTCCCACTGGCATCACACCCAGCTGGGGATGGGAGACAGACACTAGAAGCAGTTGCAGGCTGGCAATCACCTGGGGTGTGTTGCTCCTGGGCAAAGCAAGGACCTTGGCATGGGGTGTGCACGGGAAATTTTCATTTTTTGGGGTTTTTTTGGGTAGCATCTGAGTGAGAAAATGCAGTCCAAAGGTGACATCCCTGGAAGTGTCTGTGCATTCTATGTCGTTCAGGTGCACAGTTGTAGGTGAGACTCAGGCCAGAGATGAAGGGAAAGACAAGCTAGCAATTGTAATAGAGGATCTGAAAAGGTTTTTCCTTTTTTTTATCTTGTTTTTCTGGGGCTTGCGACCTTCTGTATGTCTTTGTATGGATGATATAGTCTGGAATAAGGTTTGTTTAAATTAATATGTGTTGTTTAATTTTTATCTTAGAAATACCAAGAACAGTAAATCCAGTGTGTTTGCATTTTTGAGGATATTTGTGATAGCATTTCACTGTGTCGCCGCCTCCATAGGAGTTCAAGATGCTGAGATCCAACACCCAGTGCAATGAAAACCCTCTGGAGAAAGGCTTTTTGTGGGCAGACAGCAGAGGAATCCCAAACTTGGTTTTGAATAATATGTTAGCATTGCCCTCTCCCTTACCCTTTATGATGGTGAAATCCCTCACGTGTCCCTTCACCAACGTCACTTTTTCCACCTCTGAGGTTTTCCAAGTTTTCATCTTGGGTGAATCACCAAACCAAATAGTCTTATGGTGAACAATATTCCCACAGCCCCTCTTCACTTAAAAAATGGAAACACTCCAGCCAGAGGATAATTCCTCTTTTTTGTTTTTCCTTTTGGTCACTTTTTGCTAATAGAAGCGATTTTTGTTAATTTATTTTTTTTTTTAGAGCTGTCTGAGCACTTACAGCTCTGGCCTGAGTGAGCATTGCCTGGGGGTTCCCCAGCTGTGTGTGGGTTCCCTAGCTGTGTGGGGGCTCCCTGCAGTGGGATTTGGAGCTCAGACCCCATCGCCTCTCGCCCCGGGCCGGGCAGGATTTGCCTGCAGTTCTTCTGCGCTCGCAGCAGGTGCTGCTGCTGCCACACCAGCTGTGCTGGAAACACAGAGGGCCCCACGCGAAGCATCCCACGGCATCCGGACAACGGGTAGGACCAGGGCGCCCTAGGAACGCTATTAAATACAGGGCAAAGCCACTTTTCCAGATTGGGACTGACTTCTCCCCACCCCCAAGCATGTTTAGAATAGCCCTTTGCTCTGGGGCTGGGAAATACTGCAGCCCAGTCATAGGAAATGATCAACCATGAACCCACCTGGAAGCAGCTGATATAAAAATTAACTTCAACTCCACTAGTGAATGCAGAAAAACTCTCCAGAGGACTTTGAGTCTATGGTTTGTTTGGAAATTCGTCACTGGAATTCGAGGCAGTTGCTTTTCCCTGTGGTGACCAGCAGCCACCTCCTGAAAACTGCGTGGCACGTGGACGCACCTTCCAAAAAGGCCAAGACCATCCTGGCCTGTATCACAAAGAGTGTAGCCAGCAGAACTAGGGCAGTGATAATTCCCCTGTACTTAGCGCTGGTGAGGACGTACCTCAAATCCTGTGTGCAGTTTTGGGCCCTTTCCTTGCTGATGTCTTCAGGAAAGGACACATCACAGCTGGTATGAGATGTCTGTGCCTACTTGCTTGGGCTTGGCAAGAGCCAGGAAGGCAGGAAGCCTTGAGGCTCTTGTGCCTCAATCACCTGCCATCGCTCAATCTGCCTGTTACCCTGTCAGCTTGCCACTGTTTAGGAAATAATAAAATTGATCTTGATAGTGATTCAGCTGCCTGGTTTAAAAACAAAAAAAAAATGGGGAAAAAGAGCTTTGTTAACTATGGCAGAGAGGGATTAAGCCAGGATCTCTGGGACAAGAATGCTGACTGTTGGTGTGGAAGTTTCCCTACTGCCTTGTGTGGGCATTAGCAGCTGGGATTTGTGGGAACCTCTCACTCTGAGCTTTGATATCAGGGGAAGTTATTAGAAATAATGGATATTTGAAAGTACTGCAAGAGGAAAAACCCTCAAGTGTCCTTGGCACAGAGTAACCAGGCTGTAACCCATGGAGACAGTGACTGTACAGTGGTGTCACATCTGTGCAGGGACATTCCTGTGGCACAGTGGCAAGTAGCAGTTAGGGGCCATATGTCTCCAAGTAGCCTGTGCTGCAGGTTTTGAGGAGGTGAGGGAGCACCCACATCTGTACATGACCTCCACAGGTCTGGAAGAAGCTCCAGAAAAGTCTTCCTCAAGTCTAACAGCCATGAGGGCTGTGGAGAAGTGCTCTCCTCCTGAGCAGTGTTACTCTCCTCAGAAACCAGGCCTATCTTTTACCTTATCCAGTTTTTCATGGGTGTCTTCTCCTTGGCCTCTACCTCTAGCTATGTACTACTGAACCTGAAGCTGCTGCTGGTACCCCAAGGTCTTCTCTCAGAGCCAAAGCAGCAAAGCTGTAGATAGCCAGTTGTGAGGCATCAAATGCACCAGTGTAAGCTGCATCCTAATTGCTGGCCTTGTGCTGCAGAAATGATCTCATCCTTGGGGAACTCCTAGGAGACAGGAAAAAAAGACCAACATCAAAAGAGTTGTGGATCCTGGGATGGATGGAGAGCTGTGGATGTTTCAGCAGTTGCTGTTAACTGCAGAAACTTTCCGCTACATTACATGGTCATGCCCTGTGGACGTGATCCCTGCACGCACCTGGCTGAGCATGGGATACCACCACATGGTTCCAAGCACTGAGGTTCTTTCCCACATTAAATCTGTGTATTGAAGCTGCTGGAGCACATTCACCTTGGAGTGTGTACCTCTCAGTGTTTACAGCGAGGTTTCTTGCTTTCATGCCCACACCACCACCTTTCCCCTGTGTAAAAGAGCCTGAAGCTCAGCTGGGTTTCTTCTAACTCAGGAATCCATAGCTGTATGCTGCCAGAGCACAATCATTTATGTAAAGATTGTTTTATTTTCTACTTTTGGTTCTGGAGGTTCTGACAGACAGGATAGGCACAAGGAACTTTGTCCCACCAGGCAGCTAGATGAAGCACTCGGTGATTCAGCATTTACTGCACCCTACACAGATTCCTCTGTTATCATACCAACAGGAATGCAGGGCTAGAAGGGATCTCCTAGTCATATTTCCCAGCTATGACAAGTACTGAGTCATAAAGTCCCTTTTGTTAATTTATCACAGTCCATCTTAAGAGTCACTGGGAATATTCTTGGCAGGTTATTCCAGAACCTCACTTTGACAGAAGGAAACTTGTTTCTGATTTGCAGCCCACATTTTTTCATAGCCTATTTTTGTCTACTTGTTCTCATGACAATGCTGTCTTCTAGTTAGCAGTGGCTCTTCCTTCCCGTTCTCCAACCTACTCTTTTACATGCCGATGAAGAATGTGGCCCTTTCCTCCCAGAATCCCTGGTCTACTCAGAGAAGAGAGTGTCTATTTTTAGTTGCCTTTAGCAGCTCATACCTACCTCTCCTTCAGTCTGCAGGGAGGCACTGAGGGAGAGCCCTGGTTTCATTGCTACCAGGTCATACTCTTCCCTTTGCAGCCTTGTGAGGATGGCTATATACACTGTTCCCTGCCTCACAGCAGAGTAAAGAGTTTGGCAAGATGCTGGGACAGGATCACGCTCACCTTTGAAAAGAGAGTGCATGAGAAGAAATACTCATTGGTAGATAGGACATCAGAAAGGCAGGCCAGAATCAGGTAAAATTCCCCTGGGTCATTAGGAAGCTGACATTTTCTTTGCAAGTCTGCAATGGCCCTGGGGTTCCCAGTGCCCATCAGGTGCTACATTTACCAGCAATATTTTAATATACTCCAAGAAGAAGGGCTCTCCATCCATGGTTCCTTTCAATGCACCTCCTGCAATTGCTGAGAGGTGCATCTGTGCCTGGCAAATGGAAACCCTGAAGAGGTTTTACTTCTTGGAGTTTCCTGTGACTCAAAAAATCCATAAGGACATGAGTTCCTTAGAAAGCCTCTGGTACCCCTCAAGGGGTTCACAGGAAGGGAAAATGAAAGCACACTCTCTGCAGTGTCCTGATGACATGATCCAACACAGGAATAGCATGGACATTTTATTGGACAAGGTGAATATAATGAGCAAGGCACCCTTCTGGAGTTGTGTGCTGGTTTCCAGGCAATTACATCTCGTATCTAACCCAAATGAGTTGGGTGATATTTCAAACCAAAGAGAACAGCAGG